ACTGGGGCTGAACAGGGAGGGAATTGGAGAGAGGCCTGGGAGGGGTTGGGTGGTCTGGGTTGGGATGTTGTCAGAGCAGGGCCTGAGTATTGGGGTGGTCAGACAGTGGGTGACACTTTTCAGGAATATTCCTGCCACTTTCCCAGCCCCACAAGGTCCTGGTGCTGGTGGTCGGGTGTCAGGCAGGCCCTGATAGCGCAGATGGGTCCTTCAGGTGACAGAGCTTGATCCTTCTTTTCTGGGTACTTTGGCCAGCTCCAGCGGTTCCCTCTCCTTGCTCCAGGCTTGGCTGTGCGAGTGTAGACAAGGCTGGTTTTGAAGGATCTTCACAAGGACGAGCAGAGTCCAGACAGGGGCATGCTTTTTTCTGCCGGCTGCGCTGTGCAGTGGATGTGGTGTTTTGGCCCTGTGCTCCGCTCTGGGGAGTTGGTGGGTGCCAGGCTCTTCAGACGCCAACTGGGTGATACGCTTGAAATGAGAGGTCGTCCCCATCCATCTGCCAAAGAAGCCAGTTGGGCAGCTGAGCCCTGCACTGCTTCCGCGATATTTTTCTCTTCCATTTCCAGGTGGGAGTGGAATAGATCAGATCCCTGGGGAATTCTGTCCCCTGGGCACAGGAGAGGGCAGAGCAGAGCCCCACGCCGGCTGTTTCTGTAGCTTGTCTGTCTGTTTGCGCAGATCACTGCTGAGGAGTCGGAAGATGAGCTGCCGTCCAGAGAGGAGCGAGCGGATGCCCGTCTCAGCGAGCGGGATGCAACAGAAGGGAGCACCAAAGGGGCTGTAATTGAAGAGACAGATGGCAATGGGCAGAGAGATGGAGAGGAGGCAGAGCAGCCGGACCAAACGGTAATAAACCACAGGTATCTAGTGATGATGGCGATCACCACGTGAAGTGTGGAGAGAAGGTTTCTTATCTCCATGTCTCTACGTGTGTGAGGAGCTTTGTGGTGACAGGCAAGTGTGTTTCTTTTGCTTTGCGCCTGGATTTTGTCAGAGGATGAGGATGCCAGCCTCAGGGGAGCGACTCATGCAGGGAGCTTAAACCCAGGTGCTTGGGGCTCCAGATCTGGAAGAGAATGAGCAGTTTGGTGCTGACAGTTGGGTTTTGTCCCTGGGGTCCGGGGAGATTTTACAGCCGCAGAGGGGAGGTTTCTGAGGAAGACCTTGTGTTGCGTCCTCACAAGCGCTGAGGTCAGGCAGAGCGTGCGAGAAGGAAAGCACCCTGGGGTTCTGAAACAGAGATTGCTTCTCTGCTCCCTTTGCTGCACAGTTAATTGAGCTCTGTGCCGCACGTGGGGCTGGGCTGGTGGGTAAATGCTCGGTGAAGTGTTTGTTTTCGAGTGGACAACGTGAAGACTTGAAGTGATGTAAACTAAACACTGAGCTTGTTCTTCCCTGTAGTGTTTTGTTGGCATTTTGTGTTAAAATTCCCTCCTGTGGTCCGTATCAGCTCAGAAGCATCTCCTTGCAGGAGCACATAAGGAAAGGGGCACTTAATTAACAATTTGGCATTGCAAGTCTAGTCCATGTCTCACTGGAGGCGAGGGGCAGGGGGAGTGAAGGGGCATTGGCCCCCTGGCCTCACCCGTTAGGGCTCAGCGTTTGGGGTGGGTGCCCATGGGTTTTGGGTGCCAGGCGGTGCGGCCAGAGGAGCGAAGACCACTGTCTGTGTGCAGTCCAGCTGTGCTGGGGGCCTCAGCCAGCCCAGGGGCCTGGGAGCGCTCTGGATGTGCGGTGTGAGCTCTGCTCGGTCGGTCCAAGCGTGAGCGGTGGCTCCAGCAGGCCCTGACCCGCTGAATTTGCTGCGTAAGCACTGCAGGGTGCACCTGCTGCTTCTCTCAGAGCTTACCAGGTAGGAACGTGGGAGCCCTCGGCAGGCGTCTCCTCACCCTTTGATAGAGCCAAATGAGGGCTCCATGTTCCCACGGCTCTGAAATCAGCTCGGGAGCTATGGGGTTGTTCTGGTAATGCTGTTACTCGCTGTATTACCTGCGTAGATCTTGGAGATGTGCTTTTCAGCTCTGTACGCTCTGGGGAAGAACCAGCGTGGACAGCAGCGTGCCTGTCGAGTTAGGGAGTGCCACGCAGCATTGTGAGCTGAAGTAGCTGCATCTGTGGCGAGAGGAGCCTGTATCATGTGGTGCTTTCGGGCAGGTGTTGGTTTCTGTGGAAATTGGAGTGACTGATGAAACTGTCATGCTGACTAGAAAAACAAAAAAAGTTTATCCTAGAGACTGAAGAAGGGCTGAAATGTTTCTTGCACACCTGAGGTGTCTAAACTCTTTCTTGCCTGATTTTATAGTCTTGGGAATTGATATGAAAGTCAGCTGAGGTGTAACCCTTATGTTTGTAAAACTTTGGTGCTTTCCTCCATTTTTCTCCTTCTGTCTTAATTTCCACTCGCTGACAAACTTGGAAAAATCAGTATTGGTTTCATTTAAAGCCCCTCTTGGCATGCTGATCTCTGTGGGAAATGCTCTTCTGCCCCATGGAGCTTTCTTCCCTGCAGCCCCGGGGCATGCTCTGACATCTGTTCCATTTGTCTTTGCAGCCTATGTTGAGTAACAAGCCACGAAAGAAAAAAAAGAAAAGGAAAACCAAGAAAACTTCAGCAGGGGAGACTTTGGTATGTCTGCATTTGCTCTGAGCGTTAGTGACTGTCCTAATGTCTCCATTGCAGTTGACAAAGTGGGAACTCTGAGGTTGTTGCAGAAAAGATTTTGCAGCAAAATGCTTCCTTTTGCGCTGTACTCATTTAAAATTATGAAACGGCAAAAGCGGCTTTTAACTGTGGTCCTTCAAGCAGCCGGAGCTGGCGCAGCTCTGCTGCAAATGCTTAGGGCTGAAATCCTCAGCAGCATCTTCTTTCATCTCAGCTTCGGGGCTTTGCACGCCAGGGGGTACTGTGTGAGGAATTTTGCCATTTTCATTATATTTTCCTTGCCCTACTTAGGTGGCTCTGCCGGCTCCGCAGAGCCCTGCGGAGCTCTCGCTGCCAGCCATCGTTCACGTTCCCTTCTCCCCCGTGCGCAGCCGCGCACCTTCTCTGTAGTTTGACATGGTAGCTGAACGCCGAGAGGAGCATCGGCTGGTGTGTTATCAGCAAATGCACTGCCAGGCGCTCTTCCCGCGGGCCCTGCTCCATCCCCTCAGTGGTGAAGGGAGCAAGGGGACAGCGATTCTCGCTGACCAACCTGTCTACCCCTAAGGAAGGGTGCTTGGAGTGAGAACTTTATCCAGTGTCCCCGTGTGTTGTGGATAAAACTACGAGACAAATTTTAGTGCTTCAACATACTTTATCTACTTGAGCTAGGCTGGGAGACTAAATAGATTACAGTCTTTTAAATTTAATAGAAATAAAGTCCAAGTGGGAGCTAGTTTTCTGCTAAGGTTTAAGAGTCTTAACTCTACTCGAGGGAGATCCTTTGCTAAACATCCTGAGCTGCAGGGTGCTGAATGGGTGAGCTGTGACTGTGGTGTGGGTGCTTGGCTGGCCGCCTCCTCCCCGGGAATTCAGCTGGGGGAGCTCGGGAGTGAGTTACTAAGGCAGAGAGCCTGGTCAAAAAGCCCGTTTGCTCTCCCGGTCTGAGAATAACAAGCAATAGGGTGACATCTGCCAGCTGTGGACTGTAGGGAGACTTCATACCCAGAACCAGGCAATTTGGTTTGCTAACTAGAGATAATACTACCTTTGTTCGAAGACTGAAATGCAAACCACATTATAAACTTTTCATGTATCCACTCCACGCGGAGTGGCTATATTTAGCCAGAAAAGGCAAGCTCACAGCGCTATTGGCTGTCATGAATGGAATTCCGTGTTCCACCCACGTACATCGTGAGGAGGATGTGAAATGGTCGCGTAAGAAATGTGTCATTTGCTATTTCTGGGGAAAAATGGAGGAAAATCAGGATAAAAGTGTTATACAACTGTTGAATGTGCACTACTGGATATATTCTTTGGGTTGTTAGAAGATGGGGAAAGTGAGAGTGCAATACATTAAAACTGGGTTAAAGCCATGAGAGTGTTTGATATCTTATTACAAGGGTCGCAGCAGTAACTTAGTGTTTCCATGGAAAGTAGATGGTTAAAGGCTGATTATTTAACTATTTATGATTAAAATCAGCACCCCAACATTTCGTGATATTAGAGTGATTGTAGTAGATAGTAGTAGAAATTGTAGTAGAAATAAACCAGAGAAAGCACAGCAAAGGCTGAGTAGGAGGGGGCAGACCAGAGACCAGACAGCCTGCCAGCTCTTGCCCGTGCTAGGTGTATTCAGCTGGCACAATCGGACTCATGCTGGTGTGAAGAGCAACAGCCCTGCGATACCTTGAGCAAGCGGGGAAGAGCAGCCAGCGCTTTTAGGAGCAGCTGGGCAGGGAAGGCAGGCTCCGGGTGGGATTCCTGAGGGAATAAAGAATGCTGAGTGGAGAGCAGGAGGCCTCAACAAGAGAGTACGTGCATACCTGAGGTGGGCGATGGGGTACCAGCAGGGCGAGTGGTGGGGGCTGTGCCAGTATCACACGGAGATCGGGTGTGATCTCTGCTGGCTGACCTGCAGGCCGCGGTCGCCCGTTCTGTAATAACTGCCTTGTCTTTGTGCGTGCCTATCTTAAGGAAGACAACGACCTGGAAGACATCGACAGCCTGCTGGAGAAGATTGAGGATACCAGTGGGCTATCGCAGCAGATGCAGAGCGGGATAATTGCTGACAGCAGGCCTCTTCTCTATGTAGAGCACAGGTAGGGCTTGCTACCTTCCTGGTTTTGGCCTTGGGTGTGACAGGGGTGTCTGTTCCCCTGAGGAAGGGATCTGGGAGCCTCCCAGTGCGATCTGGCCATGGATTCAGGATCTTGCTTGAAAGGGGTTGTGGTAATGGTTGTGCACGTCCGCGTTTCTAACCATCGCTCTTGGAGCTGTGGTCGGTTCTGAGTGGTGACTGGTATTCTGTGCTGTTGAGCCTGGTTTGAGTGGGCGACTGGAGCAGATTACCCTCCAGAGGTGCCTTCCAGCCTAAAATGCTCTGTGACTCTGTAGGAGAATCTCTGCAGAGCTGCTGAGAGCCCTGGTGTGTAAAGCCCTGACATCGAATTGGCCTGGCCAGGTGACAGACTGCGTTCAGACCAGGCGCTGTGAGCAGCAGGCCCCAGTACAGCCTGTGCTACCCTCCGAGGAGGGCTGAGCAGTGCCAGGAGCTAATTTCACCAGGAAAGCAAGTTAGACTTGTCTAGCCTTTCCCACATGTCACCATCAACAAAGTGGACTCGGCGCCAGGCGTGTCCAAGAGCTGAAGAATGAATCTGCCTCAGACTCGAGATCTGTAACATCTGGGCCTCTATTGCAGTGGGAAACCTGTTGGGGATGGGCTGGCTGGTGTGTCCGGCATGTTTTGGGTCCTGGGCTCATACAGACATTGGCAGCTCCTTCTCTTTTTGGAGACAACATTTAAACTTGTAGCTGGGACAACGTACCAGTCCCGGTTTTGAAACCTCCAGTCACACTGCATGAAAGCTGAGTCTAGGCTGGTGGGCGCTCAGTGCTAGCACAGCCAGTTCAGGGACACTGCAGTAAAGCCAGAATGTTTGTTTACCTAGAGGTGGTTTTAAACTTCAGTGAGTTCTCTGGTCAAGGAAACATTATTCAGAAACCTTTGAGAGCTGGATAATCTCGGAGCGGGTGAGGGTTGGCAGTGCTGGATCTCAGCCTTCCCACTCCCTCTCTTCCAGCCCTGCTCACTGCACAGCAGAGAGAAGCAGTTCTCAAATACGCCTCCCTTCTCTGGGCCAAATGTTAGATCAAGAAAACTGTAGGTGTTGTCATGCTTTGATGCGCGATCTTTGTTTTAAAAAAATGTGTTTTAATCCTTGCCAGCCTTCATGCAGTGGTTAGGGTGCTTGACCTGAATTGCAGGCTGCCGCTGCTAGACTCGGCAGCAGGTATCTCGTGTTTTCCAGGCACGCGTACCGTGAGCGTGCTCTCCCGAATGGAAGCTGTCCCGGGATTATCCCAGGCTAAGGCCCCAGATGCCCTGGAGAGGGCAGCAGAAGTGTTCCCCAGCTCAGCGCTGTCCTCGGAGCAGAGCACGAAGGAAGCGTGCATCTGAACAGGGCTTCCGATGCCTCCTGTTCTGACCATTTTTAGTCTCCTTTCTGTGTGTTGTGTCGGATCAGTGGTGTGTGTGTGACAGTTCGGGGGCTTGGCTAGAGCAGCTTGAGGTACAGAGCACTTGGTGTTGATGGAGAGGACTCAAGTGTGAGACTTTTGGCTGTGTTTAACTGACGGTGGCTTTTCTTTCTCATTTCAACCTTCTCAGAAACTTGAATCCGGAGAATGAGTTGAAGAGATACTTTGGGGCTCGTGCTGTTCTTGGTGATCAGAGGTTAGTCCAGAATTTACTATTAAACCCTTTCAAAGTCTGGGTCGGTTGTCTGTCCTTCCCTTGGTACGGTTTACCGAGCCCCCAGTGCCACGCTTGGGCAGGGGATCCAGGGTTCAGGGTGTCCTACGCATTTAGTAGTCGCTTGTTGGGACAGGTGAGTATTTTCCTGTGATATGTGTGAGGGGGAGTAAGGCTTCTCCAGGCTTTTGCTAGCATTTGCTTTTTCTTCTGCTGATTTCCCCTCTCATTTACTGTCAAAACACCCTTCTAAAGTCCTTTCACTCAAATTCATAGGGTATAGACTCTTAGATTTCTTTTCTTTCTCCACTACTTGCCTCTTGTTGCTATGCCAAAGTCTCTGATGTCTTACAGAGTGGCGACTGAATACTTTCCAGGGAGGTGTCATGCATTTGCTCTCAGGGGCCCAGGGAACCTACTGCTTGGGTGTGAGGTCTCTATGCCATTATCCGTTGCACTGTGGTCAGCATTATCCAGAAAATCCCCACTTTCAGGAGCTGGTTGAAAAATGAGCACATAAGAAGGGCGTAAGCTCAGAGCAGTGATGGTGGAAGCAGAAACCTTCTCCAAGAGAGTCTGTGGAAGAATATTTAGCTCTTGAGGAAGAAGCAGCAGTCCTTTACTGAGGAGACATGACTTTCTTAGAGTAGCCTTGATTTCTGAATTTCTCCTGCCCCGAACCAATAAATTGGTTGCATTTGTGAGTATGGCTTAAACTAAATCAGTTGACATTTGAAGGCACTGCTGGGAAGAGAGATGAGTCAGAGGGACATGGGGCTCTCTTAATTGGACCTGGGAAGCTGTTTGAAGCAGAGAGGCAGCTGAGAACTTGGCAGGAATAAAAACAGGGGAGAGAAGCTATTGAAGTGGAAATGCTGGAGGCACCGGCTGGCCCAAAGAGGAATCGTTCAAGTAAGGCAGAGCCTGAGCGAAGTTACGTTGTGTCTTGAAGGCAAATGTGTTAAAGCTCTGGGCAAAAGTTCCGTGTGGCAGGGCTGCAGCTGGGAAGAAGTTGGATATCTTTTTTTTTTTTTTTTTTTCACCCTGAATCGTCCTTTTTCTGGATGGTTTCAGCCCTCCTCATTCTGTTAGTACAGAGAAATTGTGACCTGTCATGTTTATTTCCTCAGGCCAAGGCAAAGGCAGCGCCAGTACGTCCGCAGCACGTGGCTGACGGCTCCCAAGAACACCTGGCCGCGCTACAGCAAAACAGGTGAGGCTTTTCAGTGCCACCTCCCGAAGCACCGCACTGCTGCTAGCCGACGGGACGTGTCGGTCCCATGCCCGCGTTGGTACGGACGGCTGCTCCTGCCAGCCTGGCTTTCCTAGAGCCTCAGTGCGCGGAAACTGGAGCTGCTTTCATCAGCTGCCAGGCCCGGACTTCGTACTGGCTGATGCAGAAAGGGAACTGCTTGTCTGTCCTATTGTATCTTAGTGTTTGAGCTTTTTTTTTCCCCATTATTGGAAATAGCAGGTGATGAGTACTTCCCTTCTTAACAGCCGTATTGCTGGATAATGAGAAATACCCGTGGGGAGAGCACACTGCCTGGGCTTCTTGGGTGGGTTTCGGACTTTGGCTCAGGAGAGGAGGGAAGAGTGAAATTCTCTGAAAACACGTCTGGCTTTGGACCCAGTGACGTGAATGAGCTTTCAGTGTGATAAGAAAGCAGAAGAGCTTCTCTCGCCGCTGTGCTGGCAGCAGTGGTACCCACGTCCCCCCTCCACCCTCTAGGTATTGCCATGCAGCTGGTGGACACCAGGAAGGGGGTGCAGCACTTCACGTTCGAGCACCATCGCGAGTACCAGCAAGTGCAGTTCAAGTTCCTGGATGCTGTAGAGTCCATGGACCCCAACAACATTGTGGTATGTTGTGAAATTGTGTTGCCCATGCTGTTACCCCCTGCGTTCCTGCAGCCCCTTTCCCTGGCAGGGGAGGTGGGCTGATGCATCCCAGTGCTTACTTTTCGCCAGTCTCATTTTGAGCAGTAGAGCCCCGTGCCCCCTCTGCATGGGGCGAGGCAGCATTGCTCACTGAGCTCTGCTTTCACCTTACGAATAAGATAAGTGGCCACCTTGGTGCAAACGAGGTCCAGTGGCTGGTGGCCAAGCCTTGGTGGCTCTGCCCGAGAGCATACCCGGTAGCTGTCTGGAAGAGGAGCCCGTAGGAACTGACCGTTTGGCTGAAAGCGTACGAATAAAGCTCCCTTGTCTCAGCTCTTCAGCTGGGAAAGGAAAAATATTGTATAAACCAATCTTTAAATGGGAATCTAAACTAACAGCTGTTCTATTTATAAACTCCTGTATGGATGCAAAATGTGTCTTTTCTTGGTATTCCAGCAAAACAGTCTTTGTGTTGAAAGTTCTTCATGCGTGTCCAAGCTCATTAAACTGTATGGTAACATTTATAGTTTGTAACGATAAGCAACAGTAAAATTGCTCTGCACCCTACTGAACCATAACCGAGGTATTTTTGCTCTGAAAACCCTGGCCACATGAGCTCGGATACATGCCCTGGAGAAGTCTCTTAAAGAGGCCATTGTCTGCTAAATCAAGTTTACTTCCTTCTGCTTTCCCACCCTCTGCTCATGGCTGCTGCTCTCTCCAGCTCATCAGTTCTGCCTGCTGACTGGACTGAGGGATTTGCCTTAAATGGTGCGAGGTAATTCCTGTGCAGCGGTGATCGACCTGAGAGCCAGCGTCCTCAGGACAGCTCAAAGACGGTCTTGCACGGCTGTGCAGAGCAGGACGGGTTTTCTGTGGCCCATTTTCGTCTTAACGCTCTGTCCCTGTTAAGTGGGTCTGGCTACGTTTGAAGATATTCCTACAGCTTTAGTCTTCTACTTTTCTGTTAAAGGTTAAATCTAACAGATGGGTTTACCAATGCCAGAAGTACTTCAAACCCCCAAGCAGTTTATCTGTGAGAACCGCAGTGTCAATGTAGCTGGAGCCCCGACCTGCCTTGCTGCTGTGGTTTCAGCATGCAAAACGTTATTTTTTTGAGGGTTCTGCTCAGTGAGCATTTTTTCTGCTCTTGCTATTGAGTTAAAAGGGTCTTGGTGAGGAAGTTGTAAGTGCACGAAGAGTGCTTTTTTCCCATCACGGTGTCCCTTGGTGCTCCACCCCTTCCAAAAAGGAGGACTAGAAAGGAACTTAAGAGCAAGCGAGGAAGAGGTAAAGCGCCAGGCTAGTGGCACCGAGGCAAAGGCGCTGGGCCGGGACAGCCTAGAACGTAAAGGCTTTGTACTGTACGTGGTCACGCTGGCCATCGCCCTGCAGATGTACAGCTTCTGGAGCTCTTGAAGCTGTATTTTTTCAGTTTTGGGGGGAGAAAAAAAAAAATCCCAGAACTAAACCGTGAGCAGATTTGAAGAGGCTTCAGTATTTTTGTATTGAAACTGAGGTTTAGGTGCTTGGAAGGAGTAGCCCATTTATAATATAATTAGTGAATGCAGGGGCTTTTTAGGTGTGGTTAAACTTCTATTCTGAAGCCCGGAAAAAAATATTTTTAATCCATTATGATTCAGGAGCTGGATCCTGGAATTGTAATAGATGGGTCAAAAGGTCCTCTTGGTAGCCAGAGGAAACAAAAGCCTGATCAAATGCTCAGAATTGTTGAAGGGATAGAGAATAAAAATGTAATTATGCCTGCTGCCTACATCTTGAATATTGTGTGTGGTTCTGGGCCCTCACCTTCAAAAGGATGTGGTGGAGCTGGGAGAGATTCGGAGGAGGACAGTGAAGATGATCAAAGGCCTGGCATGGCCTCAGCGCTGGAAAAGCTGGGTCGGATGGGAGGGAGCTGCCTGAGGGAAGCTGCGATTGAGGGCTTGGATCCTGCATGGTGTAGGGAGAGAGCTCCCTGCCATCCCTTCCAACCCAGGGACGGAGCTGACAGGTTGGGATGAAAGGAAGTGGTTCACATTGTGTGCTTGAGCGCTGGCTTTCTGTATCGGAGAGCTGGAGTGCTGGAAAGGTCCCTGGGTCAGTAAGTGAACAAATTCATGAGAGGAAGCACCATTAATATAAATGGCATGTTTGACAATGGGGTGTCCCTGAACCCCTGAAGGTTGGCAGCTTAGAGTGTGCTGGGAGTCATCACATGTGCCCAGCTTCGTGCCCTCTTTCTCAGGCATCTGCTTTTGGAGGCAGGGCAAGATGGACCTCTGCTCTGACCCAGCATAACTGTTCTTAGGTTCTTTTAATCTGTAGTTTTAGCCTTTCACGTGAGGGGCGTTCCCAGCCTGGCACCACAGTCTTGGCATCAGCTCTCTGATGGTGTGGGACAGGATTTCTTCACCTTCAGACCCAGGGGCAAGAACAGCCCCTTTCTCTTAGGTGTGGTGTCAGGGCATTTGCCTCCCTGCCACACTTACAGAGCTTGCCTCGTAGGCAGAGTGCACGAGAAACCGGTGATTTGTGCTGTTGTGTAATCAAGCTCATGCTCTTCTGTAGCTGCTGCTTCAGATGAACCCGTACCACGTGGACTCCCTTCTGCAGCTCAGCGACATGTGCCGGATGCAGGAGGATCAGGAGATGGCCCGTGATCTCATAGGTAAGAGCTGAGGTGAGGAGCAGATGTCCTGGCATGAATTAATAAACAAAGGCTTTTGGTTCAGTTTTGGGTTTGTTTCAAGAGAGAAGCGGCAAACCAGAAGGGTTGGTTTGGCTCCGTATCTGTGACTCTGGGCTGTGAGCACTCGTCCTTATGTGATCCTGCAGACCAGCAGCTTTTGCTGGAGGCATTTAGAGCTGGACGTGCTTGTCTGGGCCAAAGCACATCAGCATTCACCTTCAAAATTAGTTGAGAGATTGTCTGGACATGGTGGGGTCCTACCTGTAGGATATCCCTTGCAGGAGGAAGGTCTGATTTAGTAACTACAAGACACAGATTAGTACCTTGTTTAGTAGCCTATGCCCTCTGCAAGGAGCCTGCCCAGCCTTGCGGGCCAGCCTGCTTTGCCTTTGACCAGCGTCTTGCAGGCCAGCATATCGGGCTGTGCTCCTTGGGGCACCGCAGGCTGCGTGGGAGCAAGAGCTGTCCCGGAGGGTGGCTGCCCCTCCAACTGCTGTGCTGCACCCTCGGGTGTCAGATGCGCTGTTTGGTAACTGGGGCACGTGCTCTCCAGCATGATTGGAAAGGCCAGAGGCAAAGTGAGGACAGGATCTTTGGCTTCCCTATGTGAAGATAGTTGTGGCAGAGGCGGCTGTACCAGCCTCGATCCCAGACCTCTTTCAGAAGAGTTGCCTTTCACAACCAGATCTAATGCCCGCAGACAGGAACAGGGCTCGCTTGCCTGGGTATCTGCTGCGACCACATACTCTGAAATAGCTGTGTGTGTTGCTAGAGCGTGAACAAGCTTATTTCGTGGGTGCCGGAGCTCTCAATCATCGATGTCTTCTGGGCCAAATCGACTGCCATTTTGCGAGCTCTGGGGCCCTGTGGTGTGCCAGGGCGGTGGCATGCCCTGACGCTGTCCTTGCTGTCTGCAGAGCGGGCGCTGTACAGCCTGGAGCGTGCCTTCCACCCCGTCTTCAGTCTGACCAGCGGGACCTGCAGGCTGGACTACCGACGGCCGGAGAACAGGTAGGCGGCACGTCTGCCTGCCCCGTGTCTGCCAGAGAGCTGTTGTGGTGTGCCCTGGCCTACTTTGGACACGGAGACCCAGATTCACAATGTCTGCTGCGTTATCCACGCTGGCGAGCGGTGGTGCGGGGACCTTGAATGTCCCCTTCTGTCAGAACAGGCTCTGCTGCTCGGCAGTTGGTGGCAGAGCCCCTCACTGAGGCAGCAGCGGGGCTCCTGAGATGGATGCTGGGGTACCAGCAGCTCTTGCGCTGAGGTTTCTTTGCAAAGCATCCTCTTTCCCAAGGGATTTCTTACTAGAGAATTAACTGTTCCTCCCTGTCACATCCTTCTCATGCAATTAGTACCCCTTAGCCCAACATGGCAGTTATTTTTTGTCACAAAAACACTCACTGTGTATTTACGGCTGTGCTTGGACACCTGCGTGCTGCCTGCCCGGCCTTTGTCCCCAACACTCGTGCTGCGCCCGGCCCGGCTCTTTACATAATGACAGCTCTGCAGCTGTGGGGAAAGGTGACTTTATTCTGGGAATTTTCCAGTCAGCTGACCCAAGTCATCTCTCCCAAACTGCTGTACCTGGAGGTTGCTCAGATTTCCAGTACCCCCTCGCTGACGGGCTTCGTGCCATCTGTGATCTGAGCACTGCGATCTGTAACGCCAATTTGGGTGTTAGTCCTCCCCCGGTACGCGTCGCACATGCTCTGTGTCGCCGGCCCCGCGTGGCTGGGCGGGCTGGGATGAGGCAGGATGCAGACTTTGGGGAGTTACTCTGTTGCCTGAGTTGTCAGCCCTGGTCTGCAGAGCAGGCTGTGGGTTTGCTGTCCCTGTACTTGCACAAAGAGATTAAAACAAGCACAAAACAGATGGGAAAGTGGCAGGTCTGTGGCACCCCATACTGCTCCAGGCTAGGTTCCCTGGACCCCCTTGGCTGCACAGCAGTGCTGATGCTCGGGGGGGCGAGAGCTGGAGCTGACGGTGTGTCCCCGTTCTTGAGTGGCACGAGGTGCTTCTCTCCAAATCTGGCTTCTAAACCGTGTTGCTGTTCCCCACGCAGGGCTTTCTTCCTGGCTCTCTTCAAGCACCTGATGTTCCTGGAGAAGAGAGGCTGTCCCCGGACAGCCCTGGAGTTCTGCAAGCTGATTCTGAGGTAGGTGCCCCCGCTGAGGGCTGCACCCCATTTGTTCCCTGCGGGATGGGGCAGGGCATCTCAGGCTTGGGGGAACAATGCACCGAGCCTAACTCGGGTGGGACAGAAGCCAACAAGGTGTACTGCTGCTCCCAGGCTCAGGGGGGGCTTGTTTCCACTCCTTACAAATGCAGTGTCACGGCTTAGTTTTGAGCACGTGCTCTTATCAGTGGTGCTGCTTTGGAGAGAAGTGATTGTTGAGGAGGAGACTTAAGCAGATGGGACCTGGGTGGCCCTTGCTCTCGACTACGGAGCTGCAGGCCTAGCCAGTCCACTGAGCCCGGAGTCTCTGCGGAGGAGTTGTACAACGGTGGCTTCAGCCTGCTTGGTTTGTGGCCATCGGTCCTCCTCCAAGGTGGCGACGGGGGGCCGTCACGCCTCTGCAGGGACGCAGAGCGGGCAGGGCATTGCACCGTCACTCTGGCCATGAAGGAACGACCATGTTCCCGTTATCTCTGCTTGCTGAGTCACGGAAGCTCTCTGGGTGCTAGTGGGAAAGTCTGGTTTGACTTAGAAATGAGGGCAGCTATTTCAGCTTTTGTGACACTGATTTTGTTTCCTCCCCTTGTGCTCACCTCCTTCCAAAGCCTTGATCCAGAGAATGACCCGCTGTGTGTGCTGCTGCTGATAGATTTTCTGTCCCTCCGAGCTAGAGAATACACCTTCCTGACCCGCATGTTCCAGGAGTGGGAGGTGAGTTGCCAACAGGCAGCCCTGGCGAGAGAGGGGGCCGAGAGAGGAAAGCTGCTTCCCGGGGCTCTCCCCACCCGGGCTGGCACGCTGTGCCACAGAGCACGAGGGTTTCGTAACCAGATTAGCCCTTTGAGGGCTGTCTCACGGCCACACTGGCATCCCGACAGCGTTGGAATGACCTGTAAAGGCTGGGGTGTTTGTTCTTGTAATCCTGCTACCCTGCAAACAATTGTACGAACTCAAAATTGCTTACTCAGTTGTGGGGGCACCAAGCCAGCGGCTGGAAAGGAACTTAATCCAGCAAGCAAGAAACCCCACCCTATGTGCAGCCCAGCCACATCGAGATCGTTCTGCACAGCATCATTTCTCGGTAAATCTGTCTCTCTGATCCTGCAGAGTCACCGGAATTTGTCCCAGCTGCCCAATTTTGCCTTCTCGGTGCCATTGGCCTATTTCTTCCTGAGCCAGCAGGAGGAGCGCTCGGAGCTGGAGCTGAGCCAGGCCCGGGAGAGAGCTGCCAGGCTCCTCCAGCTCGCCTTGATCATGTTCCCAAGCGGTAAGTCTGTCCCCACCGGTAAGTCCGTCCCTGCAGGCTTTGTCACTGCCTTCATCTGTGAGAGCGAAGGCTGGATTCCAGGCAGTCAAATGCAGAGGCGGCAGTTTGGCCCTGGGTTGCAAATGACGTTCACCTCTGTCTGTGGGAGATGGGAGCCCTGACTTGGAGGGTGATGCGGCTCGCGCAGTTCGGTGGTGGTGGGTACTGCTGTACCGACGTCTGGTGTGGTGATGGTGGTGGGATTCAGCCTTCCCTCACCGTGGCAGGACCGGGGAGAGAACGGTGGAACCGGGTAGGGCCCCTGCAACCATGAGCCCTGCACATGTTAGGAGGAGGTCGGCAACCGTTCTCCCTGCTGCGCACCCTCCTTGGAGCAGCTGATGCCCCTTCGTTAGAGACGGTCATGGACGTGCAAGTTGGGGGTGGATGAGAGCCAGAGTCTTGGAGCAGGAAAATGTTTCACCCCGGGGTTGCCCAGACCCGAGACAGCAAGTCTCTCTCAGCTTTCCCTCCGAGGCACAGCTCTGCTTTAGATGTGCTCTCCTTGGGTGCCCATCACTCCTGCTTTCATCCAGCTGGTGCTGCTGTCCATGGAAGGAGATACGCAGCCCCTCTGGGCCCAGAGGAGGGTGTGTCTTTATAGGCAGGAATAACCAGCTCTCCAACAGAGGTTTAGTTTGTGTTGGCTGAAGCCAGCTTTTTTACTGCCAGTCACAGTGACTGAAATAAAACCCTTGTTCAAATTCAAAGGCCAGCAGCCTTCAGTGTAGAAAACTGCACCTTATTTCACTGGGAGGGGGGAAGTTTGTTGTCCTTTTTTGTTTACTCTGAATCTGTTTCCATCATCCGTGCACAGATCAAAACGCAGCATAACCCCCAGCAGCATCCTCGCACCCTTCTTGCGTGGGTCCTCGCTCAGTGCCCCGGTGGGGTCCTGGCCCCCTGGGATGGGGCTGTCCCTCTGCAGCCCCGGCAGTGGGGACTGGCCACTCCACGGTGCTCCTCGCCGGGCTGTTGAAAGCGAGCTGTCTGACTTTCTCCTGCAGTTCTTATGCCGTTGTTGGATCACTGCAGCGTGCAGCCCGATGCCAGGGTCGCGTCCCATTCCTTTTTTGGGCTGAATGCTCAGATAAGGTAAGCCCTGGAGATGTTCTCAATAAAGGGAAGGAATCGATTTTGCCAGTAGTGGGGCTTTTGCTTGCTGAGGCAGCTAATGGAGTTACAAAGCTGCGGAGGAGAATATTTGGTTTTCCTGAGTAGGCTGTTAGATGCTTTGATAATGGATTTCCATAATGGCCACCAGATAACGCTAACAGACCCGCCTCACCTTAACGTGGATGGGTCAGAAGTTCACACCGAAGCTTGTCAGTACATGTAGTAAGAGAGAGCAACGTGTGAGTGCTCTCAGGGCAGGCTGTCTCCTACCAGTCTGGATTTCCCTGACACGTGGTCATCCCAAACATGCAAACGGTCTCCCCCTCGGGTCAAGGCAGCATTAACTTTCATCTCGTGGCTATGCTTACCCCAAAAACAGATGGAGGCAGGAAAAACTGGTGAAGGTAGATGGAAATAGCAAAGCAGGGAGCCTGCGATTCCTCTCTTTGTGTTCTCACGCCGAAGCACAGTGCGGAGATGAGCCCTTGCCAGCTCGCACAGGGACCTGCAGGCGGGAAGGAGGAGAGTGCCCTGAATAACAACTGTCTCCCGTAGCCAGCCTCCCGCCTTGAACCAGCTGACGTCCCTCTACGTGGGAAGGACTCACTCCCTGTGGAAGGCCCCAGCCGTCATGGCGTGGCTGGAGACCAACGTCCACGAGGTGTTGTGCATGGTGGATGCCCGGGACCCGCTGGTGGAGGAGTCTGAGCACAAGTGAGTGCAGCAGGCGGAGGTGAGCGGCTCTCGTACCAGCATGGGTGCTGAAACATGGGGACGGAGCCGACCGGGGGGCTCTGTGGATGAGAGCAGCTCTGTCCTGGGCAGCAGTGGTGCTGGGCCTTGCTCAGAGCCCCATGACTGCCCGTCTGATGGTGGCTGCTGATGCCAAGGGTTACACTGTGGGGCCGGGAAGGCTGCTCCTCCGTACTTTGCACAAACGTGAATTGAGAGCTGTACCTCTCGCTCGCTGGGGAGCCTGTGCTGTGCTGGCTTTCCCCAGCCCCAGCCCTTGTGTATGCCCCGGG